GTCTGTAAGAAAACATTTTTCTGTAGACCAAATAAATAAATAAATATGTAGTTAGATCGATATTTCTTTTCAGATTAAAGGTAACCCTAGTCCATAACATTTTCAAACTAAAGATGACTGGCCACTCATATTTTATTACCTAATTTGACTTATGTATAAGCTAAACAAATTCGACTATTAGAAAGATGGCAACCATCTTTAAAAAAAGTTTCAAACTAAATTTTTTTTTAATTTCTTTCGTTTTACATTGTGACACATATTACAATTGACTGATGAATTAAGTTGCATTTAATTTTTTGAACAATGGCAGCTCTCCTAAATACATACCCAGCTTTTAATAGTTCATTTAACTTATTAAATAATAAACAAAAAATTGTTTAATGGTGGCCACCCTCTTCAAAGATTACAAAGTTCAAACTAAAGCTTCCTTAAAATTAAGTCGTTTGATACCCATTTTTATATGTATAACTTGCGTATAAGTTAACACAATTAGGGTCGGTTGCTCAAAGCCTGGTTGACACTAACCTTCGGTTAACATTGTTTTCGACGTCTCCGACTCCATGCATATAACACGGTGTCGGTAACGTCGGTAACGATGTTTAACCGGTGTCAACCAGGCTTTGAGCAACCGGCGCTTAGACCTTCAAAAGAGTTGCAACGCACTTCAAAATATTTTCAATTACTACGCTCTTACGTCTGTCGCCCATATGGTGTAAATATTACGATTGCCATAGTTTAAATTGAGTTTGACTTTTTAACCAGGTGGAAACCTTCGTACATGTATTTAAGAAATAAAGCATTTTCCAAACCATTTTGGTTGATACCCATATTCCATATAAATATTTTAATTAAATATCATATCTATCGTGTAAATAATAACACACTAAACTAAACGAGAGACACACTAAACTATTATTGGAGTTTCTTGTGTCGTCGCGAACTGCCCTCAGCAGTATAAAAAATCAAACCGTGATCGCGAAAAATACCTATGGTGTTTTCTTTTCTACAAAAAATGTTGCCTTCTCAATGCCCTCTGCTTAGTATTTTTACGTAGAGGGCACTGAGAAGGCAACATTTTTCGGTAGAAAAGAAAAAGCCACTAAATAAACAATAAGACATTGTGTGCATTAAAATAATTAAAGTATTGTTTACATACAAAACGGTAGTTAACTGAGAGATGAGTGTCGAGGGCGCTCCCCTAAAGGAGCGCAGGCACTCAATGCAAAGCGCAAGCAAAAGAAATGCATATTTGACAATCACTGCATCCAGGCCAAAAAGCAAAACCAGCAACAACAACGCTAAAGAAAGATGCAGCCAAGCAAAGAACATATTCTTGCTCTCCAGCAGTGATCAATGCGGACAACAACGCAGCTGTCGATACCAATACTTCGATGGCAACAAACAAAGAAGAAGAAAAACAAGCAAAAAATGCTACTGTTCAGACTAGGGTAGATCGCTACATATTACCATATATGTAATATATTGGCAGTAAGCTAACATCTCAATGTGTAAGCATTCCGAAATCAAAGCGAGACAGTCTAGTACCGTTTTTGTCAATGGATTGTGTACTTGAGTGCCGTTTTTTATATATGTTGTGTACATGTTTATTTATAAACGTATGTGTTCCTTTTCTTTCGTACTTGTTTATTGATATATCTGTACTGTAGTGTTTTCGGACGGTACTAGCTCTTACTGCCAACATAAAAAAGGGTCTTAGTAATATCGAGAAATTCAACCATTTGCTCAACTGCCTTAAGGGGCAAGCCCTCGAAACGGTTCAAGCATTTCCCGTGACGAACGAAAACTACCGTAAGGCACTTGAGCGACTGGTTACGATACGATAATGACTCATTGATTTTCTTGGANCTTCTTGCTCTCCAGCAGTGATCAATGCGGACAACAACGCAGCTGTCGATACAAATACTTCTATGGCAACAAACAAAGAAGAAGAAAAACAAGCAAAAAATGCTACTGTTCANCACTGCATCCAGGCCAAAAAGCAAAACCAGCAACAACAACGCTAAAGAAAGATGCAGCCAAGCAAAGAACATATTCTTGCTCTCCAGCAGTGATCAATGCGGACAACAACGCAGCTGTCGATACCAATACTTCGATGGCAACAAACAAAGAAGAAGAAAAACAAGCAAAAAATGCTACTGTTCAGACTAGGGTAGATCGCTACATATTACCATATATGTAATATATTGGCAGTAAGCTAACATCTCAATGTGTAAGCATTCCGAAATCAAAGCGAGACAGTCTAGTACCGTTTTTGTCAATGGATTGTGTACTTGAGTGCCGTTTTTTATATATGTTGTGTACATGTTTATTTATAAACGTATGTGTTCCTTTTCTTTCGTACTTGTTTATTGATATATCTGTACTGTAGTGTTTTCGGACGGTACTAGCTCTTACTGCCAACATAAAAAAGGGTCTTAGTAATATCGAGAAATTCAACCATTTGCTCAACTGCCTTAAGGGGCAAGCCCTCGAAACGGTTCAAGCATTTCCCGTGACGAACGAAAACTACCGTAAGGCACTTGAGCGACTGGTTACGATACGATAATGACTCATTGATTTTCTTGGAAAATATTAATATGCTTTTCGATATGCAACCAGTTGCGTAGCATTGTAGATAAAGTATCGGCGTTGTTCGGGTCTTTATCTTCGCTTTGCACCGATAAAGAGATTGCTAACGCCATGCTGATTCATTTGGTGATTACAAAAATTGACGAGGAATCTCAAAAAAAAATGGAAAGAGTCAGCTGACCTTTCAAATCTGCCGCTTTGGTCCGATTGTTCTAGTTCGGATCACACACTTCTCCACTGCTCTCGTTTCAGATCAATGGATGTAGCTGAAAGATTTGAACATGTCAAGCGATTGGGGCTATGCATCAACTGCATGTCCAATAAACATCAGCTCGCTCGCTATTCATCTACGCATAATTATAAAGTTTGCGGGAAGAAGCATCACAGCCTCCTGCATCGTGTTACTACAACGATCACGTCAAAAAATGATTTTACCGGCACTGATACTACGACCGCTACACATACGCACATGGAAAAATCGCCAAAGGATCAAGTCATCCGTGCCACCGCACTTGTACTTGTCAAAGATGCATCAGGGTCATATCAGGTTGGTCGAGCTTTATCATGCTCATGCTCACAATTGAACTTCGTAACTACCGAATTCTCACAGCGGCTTCGTTTACGTCGTCAACGCCAGTCAGTCGAGATTCTAAGCATAGGAAATGTCCAGGCTTCAACGAGTTACAAAACAGTCACTACAACTAAGTCCCAACATACAAATTCCGAATGGAATCTACCAGCCAATAGCAAACTTGCAGATGAGCAATTCTTCAGAACAAGTAGGATAGACTTGCTTATTAGAGCCGAAGTATTATTCGATATTTTGCCAGTCGGACAAATCAAGTTGGGCGATGACATGCCAGTTGTCCAAAAAACTTTACTCGGGTGGATCGTGACCGGTAAATACAAGGAACGACCATCAAAGCATGTCTTGTCATCACCGCGTACGTGCCTTCTGTCAATGGAGGAAGTACTCAACGAAAATTTAGAAAAATTGTGGAAAATGTACGAAGTCGAACGGCATGCCAGCAAGTGGTCGAACGAAAACGCGTACATTAGCACTGTAAGACGCAACGCTGACGGTAGAATTGTAGTGCGGTTGCCGCTTAAAGATGATTCCAGCAGGCTTGGTTTGTCACATGCTACGGCACTCAAACGGTTTATAGCTCCGGAACGACGGCTTAGGCATCAGCCTGATCTGAAATTACAGTACGTGAGCTTTATGCGTGAGTACGAAAGCCTTGGGCATATGTCGGTAGTAAAGAACCCTAATTATAATGCACCGCATTACTACATTTCTCACCATTGTATTTTGAAGCCTTCTAGTACTACAACAAAGTTGCGCGTTGTGTTTGATGCGTCTTGCCAGACAACGTCGCTCAAATCATTAAACGACCTAATGTTTGTTGGTCTATCAATGCAGACCGATTCAGATCGCCATGCCTTGACTGCGGATATAATAAAAATCGGACAAGATCGCTGCCTGCAGTACATAGTGTGGAGAAACAGCGAAGAGGAGGAAATTCGTACGTACGAATTAAACACTGTCACGTATGGTACTGCTGTTGCGCCGTATCTGGCCATACGTAGCCTTAACTTCATTGCCGACGATTACGCATATGAATTTCCGGTTGGAGCCAAGGTGGTTAAGTCGTCATTTTATGTGGACGATCTTATATGCGGATCCGACTCATTCGCTGAACTTAAACAAATTCAGTTCGAAGTGTCGCAAGTTTTAGAAAAAGGTTGCTTCGAGCTTGCAAAGTGGCACTCGAACTGTGCTACCTTTCGTGACGATTCTACTTTGAAAAATCTTAGCTTTGATGAAACAGCAGTCACAAATGCTCTCGGCATCACTTGGGATCAAAGTAACGAGACGTTCTTGTTCGCATTTCAGCCCAAAAATAAGTCTACTAAGGTAACCAAACGAATGGTGTTATCCATCGCTTCGTCTTTATTCGATCCACTTGGATTGTTAACGCCAATAATCGTCATCGCAAAGATTATCCTCCAGGAAATCTGGCTCCTGAAACTAGACTGGGATGAGAGTCTTCCCAAAATTTACACTTGGCAAGGTCCAACCTAGCGGCAGAACTTCGAACAGTTTCTTGCATATCCGTACCAAGATATTGCAAACTGTACAAAGCAACATCGATTGAACTTCACGGCTTTTGTGACTCATCCATACGTGCATATGGGTGCTGTTTCTACGTTCGTACTGCAACCAACAATGGCGTCAAAGTGAAGCTGCTGACAGCGAAGTCTCGAGTGGCACCTATAAAAAAGAAGTCCTTACCACAATTGGAGTTATGTGGAGCACACCTTTTGGCTAAGCTCTTTTACAAGCTGAAGGAGTCGGTAGGTGAGTGCAAGATCTATTTATGGTCAGATTCTCAAATAGTGTTACACTGGTTGAAGATACACTCTGCAACGTTGTCAACATTCGGGGGAAATCGCGTCTCTGAGATTCAAGACCTAACGACGAATTGTATTTGGCGACATGTTCCAACACGAGAGAATCCAGCCGACATCGTGTCTAGAGGATGCACTGTCAGTGAACTTTTAGCGTCGTGCTGGTTTACAGGCCCGGCGTTTCCCTCATTGGCAGAAAGCGATTGGCCAACTTGTTCCGTAAACGAAGTCGACAATGCCGAAATTAACAAAGAGAGGAGAAAAGCCACCTCTCACCAGACTGCAAGAGCGAACCACGTCTACGATGTAATTGAAAACTATAGTTCTTATCCGCGTATACTTCGAATCTTTACATACATGTTTCGCTTCATCCATAGAGCAAAGAAAAGTCTTAATAAATCTGTAGAATAAAACTCCCTAACTGCGGATTAATTACTCCTTGCTCAGTACTGCGTCATATGGATCGTTCAGCAGCAATTTTTCGCAGAAGAAATCCGCCTGCTTACTGAAAACTTGTGTACTCAAGGTTTGTTAAAGAATCTTAACCCCTTCGTGCATGAGGTCGAAGGCTTTCTTTTGCTTAAGGTCGGTGGCCGTCTAGCGAATGCAAACATTGAGGAGGGCCAAAAACATCCGATATTGCTGCCTACTAAATGTACGTTTACTCGTAACTATGTTCGCTACTTACATCAGAAAAACCATTCCTTATGGTCCTAAGGCACTGGTAGCGCTTATTCGACGTAACTTCTGGACCGTTAACGCTCGAAATCTTTGTCGACAGATCGTCAACTCATGTATACATTGCATCCGATATCGCCCTAAACTACTTCAACAAGCAATGGGTAATTTGCCGGAGGAGCGCCTTACTCCAGCTCGACCATTTACTAAGGTGTGGTCCGGTCAACACCTATCTTCGCGTACGGGGCAAGACTCCGTACAAGGCGTATATAGCGGTGTTTGTATGCCTATCCTCAAAAGCCGTGCATATTGAAGTGGTGTCAGACCTTTCTGCGGATGCCTTCATAGCTGCTCTGAAACGTCTTATGGGTCGACGGGTATGCCCAGCAATATATTCTGCGATAACGTGACAAATTTCACTGGAGCAAACAGTAAATTACAAGATTTGAAAGATTTTTTATTTAACTCGCAAACTCAACATACAATTGTAAGTTTTTGCTCTCAAGAATTTATTAATTCTTCTTTTATTCCCCCCAGAGCACCGCATTTCGGCGGCCTTTGGGAGGCTGCGGTAAAGTCGGCTAAGGAACACCTCTACCGTACCTTAATGAACACACGATTAACATACGAGGAATTGACCACAGTACTTATTGAGATTGAAGCGATTCTCAATTCACGCCCCATTGCACCGATATCATCAGACCCCAGTAACTTCGAAGCATTAAGTCCTGGTCATCTTCTCATTGGATGCTCATTGAAATCACTGCCCGAACAACCCTCCATCGGAGTGGAAATCAATCAAATCGAACAGTGGCGGCGCATCACAGTCATCAAAGAGCGCTTCTGGCGTCGTTGGTCACTGGACTACATTAATGAGTTGCAGACTCGTGTCAAATGAACCAAACCGAGTCCCAATCTGAACGCGAACGATTTGGTGATTGTACATGAGGACAATGTACTACCACAACGATGGGTGATGGGTCGAGTGACTGAGTGCTTTCCTGGAAGGGACGGACGGGTTAGAGTTGTAAACATTCGTACGTCAAAAGGCCTTATCCGACGCCTAATACACAAGCTGGCCCTGCTTCCTATATCTTGAAAGTGCCTTTCAAGGGGGCCAGGATGTTAAGTAAAGGGGATTTTTATAGTTCAAGAGGCAACACTAACTCTATTTGGTTGTTTTCATTTATGCTTTTATGCTTATTCGTAAGAGAGTACAAACTGTTGTAATAAACCTACAATAAATCAGATCATTGCAAACGATTGAAGTGAACGCATCGTAATTTTATTCCATCGACTGGACTCGAAACCGCCCACAACAACAAATTCCGTAACAAGGAAATTATTGAATATGTTCGCTCGGTCATAAAAACGCTTGTGACTTAACACCTGACTTTCACAATCTTAAGGAAGGGGAAGTGCATAAAAAATATCAATTGCGATATCTTCTTCACCGTAAAATCTCCGTAGAAGAACCCCATAAGCGTAGAGGCCCTGTTCAATGTCATTACTGCCAGGAATTTGGTCACACACGTCGCTAATGTACCTTACCTGGTGTATGTGTTTTCTGTGGAGATCTACACCCTTCTAAAGAATGTGTGAAACCAAAAATGGACCCAAAAGTACAGTAACTGCGGTGGAAATCACACTGCTAACTATAGAGGTTGTCCAGTTAATATCTCAATGAAAGAGAAAACAATTCCCAAAAATATTCCTATTAGGCAAACACCATTACCAGAACCCGCTAAGCCAATGTCTGCGCCAATGACTATTAATAACTTTACTTCATATGCACAAATGCTCAAAAATACACCTCCGACACAACCTCTTTTTGGTCAGAATAGTAGTAACCTAGAAACTACTATAAAAAACTTTATAAAACTTATGCAGGAGCAAATGATGGCAATGCAGAGCATGGTACAAGATTTGATTAAAAATCAAAACCTATTACTTCAAGCCATTTTAGCTAAACCATGAATAATCTAAACAATTTGTTTTTGGAATGCGAATGGGATAATCCAGCATAAAAACGAACTAGAAAATTTCCTAGAACGATATCATATAGACGTTTTGCTTGTATCTGAAACACACCTTATGCAATTTAATAACTTTCAAATTAATGGGTACAAATTCTATGATACTAAGCATTCATAAGGTAAATCCCGAGGTGGAACAGCTTTTCTCATTCGTAACAGAATAAAGCATTATGAATTAGAATCGCAAAGTGATGAGTTCATTCATAACACTGCAATACACATTGATGACCCCTTGGGTGGCCTTACTGTATCTGTTATATACTGCCCCCTGGTCATAACATAACAGAAAAAAAATTGAATGACTTTTTCCTAAAGTTTGGCAGTAAGTTTATTGTAGCAGGAGACTACAATGCCAAGCACACATTCTGGGGGTCTAGATTGATTACACCAAAGTGTACAAATATATATAAAGTAATCCAGAACAGAGGATTTGACGTCTTGTCTACTGGTTAGCCAACGTATTGGCCATCTGACCCCCCAAAAATACCTGATCTTATTGACTTTGGTGTAACAAAGGGTATTGCGCGACACCGAGTTAATACTGAAGCCTTATTTGATCTCTCTTCAGACCATTCACCCTGCCTCATAACCAGTGTTGCCACTTGAGCATACTTTTATGTACCAAAATGCCTACCAAATCAATATCCAAACTACCAAAAAATTGTCCGATCATTAAAACGAAATTTCTTGAATTCACGGATTTTTTAGCTACACAAATTAGCAGTAAAAACTGAAATCTTTCTCCCAAGATAGGCAATTTATCGTTAAATTTCAACAGCTGATCAATCATGTCTTTGAAAAGGGAGAAAACTCATACTTGTGACAACTCTTACGTGTGAACAAAATTTAAAGCAATTTTTTAATTTTAAAACCCAGTAACCCAGTCAGCAGAGAAACATAAATTTCACTGACAACTTTTTGTATCCAGAAACGAATTGAAAACGACTACAGTTTTCGTTCATTTTTGTATCTGGAAAACGTTCGAAAATGAAGACGTTATTTGAAAGCAATGTTTTTTGTTTTTCAAGCGGCAGTGGCTGAGCGTGCAGAATAGCGTTCTTGTATTTGTTAGCTTTCAGAAGGTGGCGTGTTCGATACCGTCGGGTACTTCCTTAATTTCTTTTTATACCCGAGCGCACTTGTGCACAAGGGTATTATAACTTTGTTCATATAACGGTTGTTTGTAACAGACAACACGAATCGAGATAGATATAGAGAAATGTAGACATAAATGATCAGAATGAAAAGAGAAATCGATTAAGCGGTGACTGTCTGTCACCTGTCGTGTGTGCACACGATAACTCGAGTAAAAATTGAGATATCTTAACGTAGCTTGGTAAGTGCACTTCTTTCGAGCGTAGGACGAATGGTATTGAAAATGGGCAAAATCGGACAATAACCACGCCTACCTCCCATATAACGGTAATGTTCAGAAATACGAAAACTGCTATATTTTAGTAACTACTGAAGATTATTCACTCAAAATTGATGTTTGCAATAATTTTTAGACGAAAAATCAGAATATTATAAATTTTTGGAAAACGGGCGTAGCCACGCCCACTTATGGATACATGTGTATATCTTGGTAACGGCTGCACGAATTTCTTCCAAACTTGGCACAGTTGTTAGTCTTACTACAGCATACCAAATGGCCAACAATTTTTAAAATCGGACAATAACCACGCCTACCTCCCATATAACGGTAATTTGGAGAAATACGAAATCTTCGATAAATATTAAAGCTAATTTACTCAAAATTGATGCTTGCAACAATTCTTTACCAAGAAATACGTTTATGTTAAAATTTTGGAAAATGGGCGTGGCACCGCCCACTTATGGTCACATATATGTGTCTCGGTAACCGTTCTACCAATTTGTATCAAACTCAGTATGATTATTGTGCTTGCCACATAGAAGCAAAACGTCGAAAATTATTGGAATCAGATTCAAATTACGACCACTTTTCATACAACGGTAAATTTCAGAAATTCTTGAAACTTCAATATTTCGACATTTAAGGACGCTAGTTTACTCAAAATTGATACACACCGGCTTACCATATAGCGGGAGCTTTCGGAAAGGTGAAAATCATATACTTAGTACCTGCGCCGGGTATTTAATGTTCGGCTCCGCCCGAACTTAGACTTTCTTACTTGTTTTTTTCGAACTATGAAAAAGCATCTGTCAAGTGCAGAAGAAAAGCATTTTCAAAACATTTTTGCCTACCAAAAGCGTCATCAAACCAACCAAACTACCAAAGGAAACTGAAGCTACCAATTTTGGTCCAATTGGACCTAAACGGCAACGCTGCTCACAACATTATCTTATACATTATTTCTCTAAGGTGTTTTTTTGTTAGTCTCCCTTTTTATACTTGTCTATGTAAGCAATTCCACTAATGAGGTGCCATTTAAAAAGTCAGAGGTCCCCTGAGTGGTTATTAGGTAATATTAATGGNCTCACAACATTATCTTATACATTATTTCTCTAAGGTGTTTTTTTGTTAGTCTCCCTTTTTATACTTGTCTATGTAAGCAATTCCACTAATGAGGTGCCATTTAAAAAGTCAGAGGTCCCCTGAGTGGTTATTAGGTAATATTAATGGTCATAACACCTCTGATGTCAAGAAATTTGTAAATTTATTTTTGTTTTTAATTTACCATTGTTAAGCCACACTAAAGGTATTTTGTACTGAAGCACTATTGTGACTGCAGCATCGCTTACACCGTATACGACAGTGGTGGGCGCACACATAATTCAATAATTAAGGATTCGATAAACTGACAGTTATCTCTCTCGCACCGCTCCCTTAGCTCAGATATTATTGTTTGTGTTAAAGAAACATTTAATCAACAAGTTAATTCTGAATATATTTTCACCTCAAATATTGTATACAAAGATATATTGTAAGTAACACCATGTTTCCCTCAACTCAGGACACTATAAATCTCATTCACGCTTTGTAATATATGTATAATAAAAATAACGGCTATATAAGAATAATTCTGTTTACTATTTCCGCGAACTATTAGAACAGTCTGCTTTTATCTGTGGCTACAAAGAGGAATGAGTTTACTGTGTATTTCCGCCTGCGCAGTCTGCGCATGGGCCCGCTTTTCAATGTTTATTAATTATGAAGAAAAACAAAAAATCTTACTAATAAGCCCATAAACTGGTTAAAATACAAAAAGTATGTCAGTTCACACATTGACCCGCAAATTCCTATTGGGACCAAGAATGATATCGACAGGGCAGCTGAACATTTCTCACTGATAAAATAGTTGAGGCCGCAGAAATTGCAACACCAAATCCTTCTATTAAACATCGCAGTTCTTACTGCCCTGGCCTCCACACCCCAAACATTCTTAACTTAATAAGTAACGAGCGCAAATTAAGAAGGGAATGGCAAAGAATTCGCTCTCCGAAGCTTAAACAGGAGCTGAATGGTACAAAAGAATTACGTATTTTGTTGCAGGCGGAAAAAGAAAGAAGTACGCAGTCGATCCCAACACCAGTGTCAGTGCGGCTCGGAAACTTGTCCTTTCCGACCAAACACAGCCTACTGGATTGTAATTACTTAAATATATATAAAAAAATATATTCCAATAACTCATTTAACTTTTTAAATAATTTGAACAACTCTTATTTTTGAAAGGGTGGCAACTATTTTCGAAAAGCTAAAACCTCACGGCACATCTACAGCCCAAGCCCTTTAATCTTACACCTCATTTTTCAAAATCGAATGAACGGTGCGGATCAAATGGCATTGGTTATTAAATAATTTGAATTACATTTTCTAACAGGTGGCAACACTTTTGGGAAAAATAAGACCTTATTGCACATCTACAGGCCAAACCCTTTA